CCCATGTTATCTTTTATCCCCTAGGTTGTGATAAATACACAGGTTCATCCTCGTATTGTTTACTCCCTAGGTTGTAGTAAACATAACGAAATTTGCGTAATCTATTGCATCAGTCTCTACGCAGCAATGTGTTATCAAACTTTATTTTATTCATCCCCTAAGTTGCGATGAATAGACAAAATATGTGTCAATAAACTTACTATATTATCTCCAAGCATTAGTAAGTCATCTTTTCAAAACTTATACTATTTTACCTCCTAGGTTATGGTAAATATGCAAGAATCTATGATCTCTCTTAGATATTGACAATTTATCTGCATCGTCATATCTAAGTTAAAACAAAACTTTGGTTCAAACGCTGGTAAGATGATACATCATCATTTATGCCTACTTTTCATACACGTTGGAACGCTGTACAACGTATCCTTATAATCTTTCGGACAAATTTTGGTGTCTTTCATTATTTAATAAATCTTCGATCAGAGCGTGTGAGACATGCGTATTCTCACACTATTCAATTGAAAGGTAATTAAATAGGGGAAATTGTCATACTCCAAATTTTCCCAATTGATTTTTAATATTTTAATAAATTCCAGAATTATCATTTGCTTTATAATGTATTCGTATATATGAGGCTTAAGTTTACAAAGGAGGGTTTTACCTTATTAAGAAATTCTTGGGCATTTCTAAATCAGAAAAGCTCATATAGAATTAAAGGTCCATTTTACTTTGGGTTAAGGCCTTTTTGGGTTTATCCATTTCAAATTTTGAAAGGGAGTTTACGCTATTTTGAGAAATCTTTGGCCTTTCTAAATCAGAAAAGCCCGTGTAAAAGTTGAGGGCCCATCCACGTACAAAAATAAGGGGGGTATGTTGTGAATATGAGGGGTTTATCGACCGGGCCACTGTGGTGTTAAGGCCTGTTTTGATTAAGGTTGAAGGGTGTATTTATTAAAGCCCATTTAAATCGCTTGGAATAAATAGAAGGGGGTATGTTTTACATTTTTGTCGGGAAGGCCCAAAATAATAATTGATACAATTAGGCCCGTTTCAGTTTTTTGTTGTTTTGAAATTGTTTATGATTATTAATAAGTATTATTAAAATTATTATTATTATCGTTACTATTTTTAACTTGATTAAGATTGTAGTTTGTTTTATTAATTAAAAGAAAAACGTTGAGTCAAAATTGGACTTCCAAATCACGCAGTCCAACCATTTCAAGGCCCAGGCCCAAAATCTAAAACACTCAATGTTCAAATCAAAGAAGAAACAAATGCTTGTTTTAGGGTAAATGGATACTGTTCAAATCAAGACAAAATCAAAACAAATATTTACATTGAATTATCCGAAACTTTACAACACAACCAAATCGATACAAAAATTATAACAGAATCAAAACTTTATACAAATTCGTATCAAATTACAACCAAATCACAGACAAATCCATAAATCCCTATTTTTGCTATCAATCTCAAGCAGTAATGAAAATTATAAAAAACGTTCCTAATTATCTAAATCAAAACGCTATAAAAATCTAAGAGTTCTAAGGCAGAGAGGAGAGGAAAATTTTACAAAGAAAATTTTTAGAGAAAGAATTTACAGAGAAGAAGGAGATTCGAGCTCTTCTCTGTTGCGCTGTCGTAAACTCTTGCTCACCGCTACTCCGTGCAAGCTTAGGGTTTCAACATCTGAAACCCTAGCTCTCCTCCGGTTGCATCGCCGCTACATCATCCAGCACCACCGTCGAGTACCTATTAAACACCAAAGTAGAGAAGATCAGAAAGAGAGTTACGGAAAAAGGCTCAAAGAACAGTCACGATCGAAGGTAACGAAAACATAACTTCTTTTTTGCATTTTTCTTTTGATAACTGTTACGGTTGGAATTTTATTGGGGTAGATTGAAGGGGTAGGGTTTAATTTGGGGGAAAAGGTCGATCGCCGCCGATTAGGGTTGTGAGAGACGACGGTGAGTTAGGCTTTTTTTGTTATTGTGTGGTGAGAAGATAGAAACGAGAGAATAGGGCAGAGGAAGAGAAGAACAAATGACAGAACTATTTTGTAAAACAAATATAAATGCTTTAATGATCCAGTAGGCGCAATCCCATGGTCGCTTATCACGCACCCTCAATAATCATCGTGTTATCACCATCAAACGATCTAAAACATACACCCATCGCATTATCGTAAGCATATCCGCATAGAGTCCAGACGGACTCTCGAATACCTTTGGACCAAGCCCAATCACTAGTTATGCCTCCCTCTATTTCGTTGTTTACTAACCAACGCAAACCTACACCCCGCAGCCTAATGGGCCAAGTCCAACATCTAGACTTGGACCCTTACTCCCTGCACCTTCGACATTTGCTACGCAGTTTATATTTACACCCCCCCCTGGCGTTTGGGCCTGAATTCAACATCTGAGTTGAGGGTCCTACTACCTATACCTCCATGTTTTGCTAGTCCAACATAATTTACACCCCCCGTGTTTTTCTAAATTTCTTTTATTAGTTTATTATAATTATTTTTTATATTTTAATATTATTTTAACATTATAAATCAAATATTTTTTCAACTCATCCAAATATTTATTTTATTGCATTAAATAATTTTAATCATGTATTAATAAGATATTTTTATAATTAATATATTAAAAAATGTTTAACCAACACTAAACTATTTTTATTAAATCAAATTAAACTCAACAATCAATTTTTGAAAAGGATTACGAAAATATTTTAATCGACTGTGCACTTTGTCTAAACACTTCGCTATTCACACACCCAGACTAATTACAAGGGGAATTCAAGTATCTTCGTAATCCATAAAAAATATCAATCCACTGCGAACTACGAATTGGAACTCTGATTCTTCATAAGAGAATACGTAGGCATACGACTTAAAAATTATGGCGAGTTTCCCTAATAAAAATTAAAATCTTATTTCCTAAATCGTAATTCTAAACTCTAGTATCCTTGAGAACAAGGTAGATAAGGGGTGCCTAACACCTTTCCTTCGTCTAAAATGAGTCAACAACTTAGAATCTCTGATCAAATTAAGGTTATGTGTTATATTCCTTTCCCTAGGATAAAAATTAATGGTGGTGACTCTATATTTTAAAACCAGTTACAACATTGTGATGAAAAACTGCGTAAGATCAGTACATGAATCCGTAGAAGAAGCTGAAGATGTTGATTCAGTACCGCAAAGATATAAAACTTTATTTGCAGACATACCGAAAATTTCAAGTATAACTGAAATTTCTGGTACATCGGAAAATTGATATTCCTGATAAAAAAATTCTACCTGAAATTTGCTAAATATCTGGTATCTATAGAGACTTTTGTAAAATTTATCAGAAATTATAAAATTCGTAAATCGCAATCAGAAATTTTCGGTATATCGTTTCTGAAAATTTGTAGAATGTAAAGAATTTCTGATATGCGATAAAAATCAGTACCGAAAATTTAGAGTAAATAGTGAAAGAGATATTTTGAGAATACTGAAAATTGGGAGACTGACATATATAATATAGGGGATGGCATATTAATTTTTCAAATTTTAAGTAAGACTCGAACATGCATTTAAGGTATGAAAATTGAATTTTAATGGAGAAGAATGATCAAGAAATTTCTAGAACCAAAAAGTCCTATAAAAATTCAATGATGAAGAATTCTAATAGAAACGAGCAAAATAATGGTATTATAACTGTTATTTTGAATAGACAATCTCTCAAAAGGTGATGAGAAAAAATATATGATGATAAAAGAAAGAAAGATGAATCAATATAATTGTCTTACTTTCATACTTTCGGATAAAAAAGAGGAAAGATTATCTAAGCCTTGAAAATTGGAAGTTAGATTAAACGTTTTGGTAGAAAGATTGGATACAAAACTTTAGAAACTCTTAAAATAAATGTGAGTGAGGAATTACATTGAATTACGTTATTAATATTACCCAAGTCCCAACTATTTTCTTGGTTATAACTTTAAATATTTTGTGAGAATGTTTTTAATTCAGATATTAAATTGAGAGAAAAATGATGAGTTACAAATTTAAATTAATAATTAAAAAAATCAAAAAAATTGCCATAAATTGAGAGATATAGTTTATGAAAAATGAGATAAGTAGCTTATTAAAATAGCTATAAATAATATATAAAGATATTATAAATTTGTGAGAAAAAGCATTAAAGATAAAAAAAATTGAACTAAAACTGTTTAAAACAATTAAATTATGCCATTTGAAAAAGTATTAAACAATTAAAATAATATTTATCTTCACAAATTGTAAATCAAATTCAATTCATTATTTATAAAATTAAAATGTAACAATTGAATGTTATAATTTTTCTCAATTAATCAATCTTTTTTTTTTTGACAAAATTAATCAAAAACTTAAAAATCAATATAAGTATGAACAAAATAGAAGCATTGAAATCAGTACTATAGATAAAGTACAAAAGTAACAGTGAGATCTTAATAATAACCAAAAAAGTAATAAGTGAGATAGTGAAGCAATACAAATGTCTTTCTAAGCTGCCATTCATAAAAGGAAAATGCCTAAATGTCTTTCCAGTTTTTCTGAATTTTAAAAACAGTCAATTACAAAATAGTAAATCAAACAAGTTTTATCTTTTATAACTTCGAAAAAATTGAAAAGAGTTTTCTCAGAGAAGTGAATCAAACTGGCCCTTAGTTCTTAGTTTTTTGTTTCGATACAAAGCAACACAAGATCAGCAAATGACACTTAAACAAATCAATAGAGGTGCTAGTAGAAACTAATTCAGAGCCCACAAAGCCTTCAGAGATGCATTGGATATTATACATATTATATAAAGAAACCGATGGATTCAAATTTTATTAATAAATTATTTCACTCTATAGCCTTGAAAAATCTCAATTAAATTAGCACCTTTAAACTTTCCTTTTTCAAGCATATATATGTTTTGCCAAAAAAAAAAAAATTCCTTGTATCTATGAAAAAAGACGAATGGAACACGCTACTTAGATTCATCCATTGGAGTACAAGATTGAGATACTAATTCCTGATCATCTTGCCTGGTTTCCTCAGACTTGGAAACAGAATCTTCAAGAGCCTCAAGAAATGACAAAACTGTGAACTTGTCTGCCAAAGGGGAAAACAGAATCAAGTCAATAAGCAGATTTCTGTCCAAAAAAAAGTCAATAAGCAGATAATAGTTTCTATAAAATAGTTCCTCGTATCGTTTTTCCTTCATTTTTTGTTTACTTATCTAAAATGCATGAAATACCAACTTCCAACATGCATTGGAGCCCTAGAAGATATGAAAATTTAAAAGAATATAAGAATTGTGCTCAGTAACAACTACTCTTTCCGTTTCAAAATGACTGTCATTTAAAAGTTTTTACACACAAATTAAGAAATGCAATGATGTTGTCATAAGACATTACACTTACACAAAATTAACCCTATTAATGTATTGGAAATAGTGTAGAGAGTAAAAAATAAAGGGCACAATTGGAAAAATAGTAATCATTACTATATTGAAAAATGAAAATGAGAGTCATTTTGAAACAAAATTTATTTGCTAAAACGACAGTCATTTTGAAACAGAGGAGTATCTTATAGGAGATTTGCCAGTTCGGTGGCTGGAGTAATAAATAGGTCGAGGGTAGGGCTGGACAACGGGTCGGACTGGGCAGATTCGAGGGATTGAACTCCACTCTTAACAATACCAACTGGAAAATGCAAATAAAGGGGAAAAAACATGCTAAACGAGCTCCAAGGTTGTCAATAGCACCGCTATAGAGGTAGTGTAGCAGCACAGCCCCTCACGACTACGCTATTGGCCTGCGAAGCACTACTGACAATAGCGGTCATAGCAGACGCTAATAGCGCTTTCGTAGCGGCGCAATAGAAGTGCCATCATGGTTTAATGGCCGTTATTCTCAATTTGGGGCAAAATTGTAAACCCTAATAGTTTGAAATGTAATTTTTAATTTTTTTTAAGGTATGTTGGTCTTTCCCCCTTTTTTTATTGGTCTAATAACTAACCCCATGTGTTATACTTCTATAGTTCCACCTATTTTTCCTTTTTCTACATTGTTCCCCCCTGCCAACTCCCGTGTCTTTTGCATTCTACGTCATTTTCATCTGTTTTCTCACCATTCTCCTCTGTTTCTTCATCTTTTGCCTTTGCTCCACCTCGTTCTCTTTTGATTCTTTGTTTTTGCTTCGCCTCTTCTCCTTGCAATGTTTCACTCCTACAACCTCTCTTATGTTTGCCTTACCTTGTTTCTCTTTTTGACAACCATGGCATCATCATCTATTGCATTGCAAGAGTAACACCAACCTCCGACAATAAAGGTTATTTTAAATCTATAGACAATCTTGATATTGGTTGGTTGGGGAACTCATAAAGACCAGAGCAAGAAAACAATTGTTTGTTATTTTGTGAGCACCTTTCAACAAGAGGAATAACAAGAGCTAAGAAGCATCAATTGGCGACAAGGGAAGTAAAATCTTGCAGCAAAATACCGGATGATATTGAACAAAAACTGCAAGAGAGTTATGATAAAAAGCAAGACGCTACTGATGCATATATGTTGGGTTAATATCAATGATGATGACATTGATCATGAATACTTTTAAAATTTGATTTTGATGGGAACTCATTTTGATGGGATATGTATGTTATTGCAATTTCTATTTTTAATTATTTATTTAAGTTGTTAGAATTTATGTTTTATTATGTACATTGTTTTTTAGTCTTCGCAATAGCGGTCATCCTGCAATCCACTATAGCATTTTAGGGGTTCGGCGCGTCCGAAATTAACAACCTAGACAAGCTCTAGATATCCCTAAAACATGTTAAGATTGGAGAAGAAACAACTACAGATGGCGTTAAAGATACAATTATCGGAATTAACAATAATTAAGGTGGATCTGAAGAGTATGAAAGTACTAAAACTTACATTTACTAGGATCGATTCCAAACTGAGACAAATCTATCTGTCCTGTTCGAAGTACCTGTGGCAAAAAAGATATATAATCATGCCGCGTATTTTTTAAAATCAAACGTAAAAGAAGATAAAAGGTGCAGCCTTTACATAAGTAAATGAATCTACTTGCTGACGGAAAGGTGGGCTCTGCAACAACTCCAATATTTCTTGTGGAGACCATGTACCCTACATCAAAGAGTGTACTACATCAATCACTAAACAGATGAATACTAGAACTCAATCACTAAATTCATATATACCTCTGGTAAATAAGGAGCAAGACGCTGCTCCAATGATAATGTCTCCATCAATGGCAATATCAGGTCAGGCTTCAGTATGTCACCGAGTTCAAAGCCTAGTTAAATGCAAGAAACTTGTCAATGTAGAGCGAACAGCATTTTGCCAGAGGAAAAAAATGACATAAAAACCTAAACCCTCATAGAGCATACTTATTCCCCTCACCACGAGATATACAGTTTTGAATATTATGTTGACAACTTAAATTTTTAGAGAGTAAATATAAAGTTGTAAAATTAGTTTGGAGTTTGAATGTTATTATAATGTTATATGTCGACATGTCTATGATGCTGTCTCAATAGATATCAAGGAAAGGGAATATAAACATAATGTCAAGTGATTACCTCCATCAGGATCAATAATACTATCTGCAAACATATCATCAGAAAAATAATAGGTCAGGTCACAGAACAGTTAAAAGGGAATGAAAGAACATGTCTCTCAATGAGGCTTATACCTGCAGCAGGACCAATGTTACTCAATATTCTTTGGAGATCTTCCAATTTAACTGGACCAGAAGACGTTACATCGCTAGTTGCGTCCACACCCAGGTTTGGGACAAATAAGTTTGCAGCTCTTTCCAACAAAAAATCAAAAACTTTAGAATCCATTTGGGAAAATAAGTAGATATGCAATGCATTAGTAAGGGATTGGATAACTAAATTCCTATGTTAAATGCATGATCACAGAGCTCAACTTCATTTTGCAAGCTGCTCGCATTTGAAAACATTTTAATATCCAAAATAAGTACCTAGATGAGATGTCATCCTCAGCCATATCTTCAGAAACTTGAAGTGGAAGAGATCCATCAGCTTCCTCTTCGCCAAGGAGCTCTGTTAGTGAGTACATACATGTTAATGAGTATATTGCCCATTACTTCTAGGGATGAGAATTTCACTCTAGCTATTTGCTTATGTCACTTTGAAAGGTTGTAATTGCAAAGTTATGCATGAATCAAAACCAAATAAAAGGCTGCAAACTTGAAAATTTCCTGTAATATTCTTTCTAATCATCTTAGTAATTTGTTTCACCTAATATGCATCGTGTACGTTTAACGGTGTAAGATCATATGGAGTCACCTGAGACTACTAATATGTGGCAGCACAATAAACAAAAGGAAGAAACAACAAATGAGGAAATACTTATAACACAGATACTTAACAGAAAAGTACTGAGATTTACAAAAAGTATGGGGCTGTTAACTACTGTCCTTAATGGGTCAATGAAAATAAATGATGCACATGAAATGCTGCCGATCGTGAATTGCGAGAAACAGAAGGTTATTCAAATTTTGCAATGCTTCCGTGCTATAGCCACTATTTGACAGCACTTGGTACTAAATCGCATATCATAGAACGACCTAAGTTCCGATTCGTTATCCGGCATTGGACAACAATGTGCACACAAGTATTCCTAATTTTTGTTCAAAACCATACAGGGTACATATCCGGTGCCAAGTACATACTTGCTCTACGTGGGTACATACCGAATACTCACTTATCATTCGAGGAAAAACCAGTGCATGCAAAACATTTAGTCCTGTTGCTTAGTTGTTTAGTTAGCTGCTAAATGAAACAAACTGCTACTTCACTCTTTTCACAATGCTATTTTCTTTGCCTAAAAACAATGTTTAAAAATTGGCGTGGATAATGTTGCCCTGGCTTCTTTGCTTCAATTTATATTAAGATAAAAACTACTTCAGAGAAGTTTAACAACACTACAAACTTTTTAACAGTAGAAATTGATAAACAGACTCAAGCATTAGTAAGTTCTTGTACTAGTATATATGAAATAGTATCCTTATCTATTATATTGTATATATAAGCTGTATTTATTTCTAGATATATATCATTATTAAACTTGCTGAGCCATTTACTGAAGCAATTCATAAAGTTTCTTTTATTGAAATTCTCTAAACCCTTCTCGAATAGGCAGAATAGCAGGAATGTCCACTGACATAAGGTTGTTAATAGAAAGGAAGCTAGCTATTTTACAATTTAAAGCAAAAGGAGTGATACTTACCTAATGGTCTGTTAATATAATCATTCACAGAGCTACAAAGTTGCGAGTCATTATCAGCATTCGATTCCTAGACACAATAAAGGATCATGTAGAAAATAAGAAATATAAGAACCAAGAACTAATCATGCAGGTAAAGTACTTGAAAAGACAAGTGGATATTCAGTAATAAGGCCAACCTGCATCCAGAAGAAGAACTTTCTGTCATCACTATTAAACTTCAAAATGTAAACCCTTCCAGATGCTTGATTAACCTAAGCAACCAATCAATAGAGAGTTCAGAAAACTCCGAAGAACCATCGAAAGAATCATAACCAAGATATTAACAGATAAGCAGTGGAACCTGCTCAAAAGTAGCCTCGTTTGGAAATATGATCTGATCCTGTATTGGCTTAGGTCATGGAACATCAATAAAAATCCAAAAGGAAGCAACTAATGTTTGAATTTATCATATATACAGTAAAAAAAAGAATGGTTGTCAAAATAATAATGTTCGAGAGAAAGCAGGAAGAACGGAATAATGCGACAATATGTTCAAACATGTTACACGCAGATGTTTACTCAGTTTAAATAGCTTTTGTGTGAGTTTATTTACAGTGCCACTCTCTTACAGGCAATAAAATTCAAACAACACTATCCCAACACTTATTCACTTCTAACAGCCTTTTTTGCTAGCTACTAAGCTTTTTTTTAACTATCCAGTGGAGAAAAAACTTCCCCAAACATTTTCTTTCTTTCTCTTCAACATACAAGGCAGAGTGTGGAGGAGTGGTGTTGCAAGAAAGAAAGAGAAAATCTGCCTTTTGTAGAACAAATTATACCAAAGTATCTGTACAAGAGAAAATACTAGCAATATCCATAACACACGCACTATCGTGCAGAAAGAAAGAGATGATTAATAAGGACATTTCTGCACTCAAGGTCAAAATCTACCCCCTTATAAATTCCATTTACTAATAATTCTATTTAAATTTTATTCGCAAACAAATAACATCTGGTTATTAACAATAACTCATTCTATGTGAATCCTGTAAATTGTATTTCAAAGTAAGTTGGGGTATCTCCTGTCACAGAAAAGATGGTACTGGTGTCTTAGGTGATTTGGGAGTGTGTGGAGAGAAGATACATTAGAAACACAACAAAAAGGTTGAGCAGATGGAGGAAGTTGTTGGATTGGTCTAGTTAGAGGAGGCTTAAGACCAAATGAATCTACTACATGGCAAACAATCAAAAGAGAGAAATAAATGGACAGTCTTTAAACTTAAATACAGCACAATGTTGGGCATCATTGATCTATGTAGCCAATCATGCCTAGTGGGGGGGAAATTAGGTTGATTTTGCGGAAATCCAACTTAAAAAATTAGGCAAAACACGAACACTTCATGTTCTGACTAATTATAACATTGCTAACATGTAGTTTTCACATCAAACATCCAACCCCTTAACTTATCATCTATTCCATAATAGAAGGCGTGCTAGATCAGCCTCACAACTCACAAGAAACTGAAAATGTGCACTTAAAGAAAATAATTAAAACAAAATAAATAAATAAAACTAGGTACATAAAACTATGAACCAGGGGAACACACCAAATACAAACTAAATATTAGCCCGTACCAACATCCTGATAAATAACAAATGTGTGGAATAAGAAAATGAAAAATGTTATTTTCTCATTCCAGTTGTAAACAATGTTAACTTTTTCACTATTAGCTATTAGCTAGTGGATTCTTCCCATATTTCCTACTATTCAAATACTCTTATCCTAACTTCCCTGTGTATATTTATTTGATTCTGTCCTGATTTGCAACGTAGTAAATTAGGAAAGACTGCAGACAAAAATAATAGAGTGATTTACTTTGCCCAAATATTTAATCAATTGAGCAATTCAATGCAAATTCTAATTTCCTATTTGTGTAATCCAAGTTCTCATCTCATCAATCCTACAAACTTACCACATTTGGTCGAAATACTTGCAAAAAGAAGAAGAAGCTTTACAGAATAGTACACCAGTTATACAAATTAGAAGAGAAAAAAAGGATACATCTTCGAGAACATTTAACGTGCGATCAAGCCACTGAAAGTGAACTAATCCCTCCTCACCCTGAGACAAAAGCAATCATCTCAAATAACAATCATAGTTGAAATAACAAAGAAGCAAAGAACAATATTCAAACATCAACCAGACAAATCCAACAGAATGTTAAAACATATTCAGCGAAAAACATACCCTAGCAATACGAACGAGACCTTTCCGAGCATCAGGAACCACCCGTTTTCCTTCTAGAACCATTTTACCAGCACGAAACTCCAGCATAGTCTCCTACTCATACACAATTTTTTCAACGAAAAAAGCAAGGTAATCATCATTCATATCATAAAAATCCAAAACAACCTACAATACAACTAAATTAACACTTAACAATTTATTACCTGAATCGCAGGAAAATCATCGATAGAAGAACTCATCTTGCTGCAGTAAAGGAGCTACAAAAGGTCAATAACAAAAGCAAAGAAGCGTTGTAAACGACGCAACAATTTGACAAAACCCTAAATATGAACTTACAATTGATTAATGGATGATACTGTGCTAGGGTTTAAGGTGAAGGTTGAATACTGAAGTGAAGTAGTGAGAAGAAAATTTGATGATGATGATGATGATGATGATGATGGAGATAGTTGAGAAGATAGTGAGGGTTTCGTTTGTTTATTCAGATTTTCTATCGTTCTTTATCGCTGCCGCTTCGACCTTAATCTCATGTTTCCAATTTTACCCCTTGGTTTTGTTAAAACTACGGAATTGACATTCACTTTTTTGGCTTTTTTTAATGTTTAAATATTTATTTATTTTTGGAAATATATATTTTTTAGTATAGTTTTGTAAAAAAAAAAAATTGTAAATGTTTCTAGTCCCTCCTTTACTAAAAATGGTGTTTTTTTATGGGATAATAGATTAAAATTAAAATATTTTTTTCTTAAAAAAATTTAGTTCTACAAATTTATTATAATTTGTTTTGTTTTTATCTAAAAAAATAATTTAAATTGATCTTTTGAGAGATGGTTGAGTGACAGAGAATAATAATTATTTTGTAAAAGAGATTATGCATCTATAAACACTCTTATAAATTAATGATAGTCCGTAATAAGAGATTTTAGGGCTTAAAGAATGTGTATGTGCACCTAAGTTTGTCTCTAGTTGGACAAGTAATTTTATAGATAGTTGTTGAAATATCATGATATTATCTTTTGTCATGTAATTCTGATTAGGTCTTCATATTTGCTTAAGTGTGTTTTTAACATGTATCTATATTATGATTTGCAATGAGGTGTTTCCTTGGGTGGAGACTTTCTCTTGTGGCATTGGACTTGGTTTTATCTGATACATTAGTGCCTCAAGCCTTTAACTAAATAAAACAAATGATGACTTGATATCGAACCATGTGTCTTTATATGGAGCCTTTTTTAGGGTTGAATGCAAGATCGAACTTAGGCATATGCAACCTGGCTCACTAAAGGTGAGAAAATACACGAGAAATTGGTTGAATTGTGTATCTGATAACTTATACTTTTTCAAAACAGCAATTTCTGAATTTCAGCAAGTTCATATTCTAATCTAGAGTATGCAACAGCGGAATATTTAAAGTACAAAAGCAATAAGTAAACCGCACACAAAGATTATCATGGTTCCTCTATAACGAGAGTAGTCTAATATATATACAAATGTAAGAAACTCTCAAGTCTTTGTGCAATACAACAACTATAAATTGTAACTTGGAGTATGAGACAACTCTTGCAATATTTTGATTTCTGTTGTTCTTCTTGTTGTATTATTTTTTGTTACTTCTTTTGAATCTTTAGCTCCTTATATGGAGGGAACAAAAGAGATGTTAGAAGCTTGCTTGCACAAGTGTCTTTGCTGGAGAAGCGGTTTCTAAGATAGATACGTTGGAGTTAGTACGATGAGGATCTTCATCTTCTAATAATTATTTTATCCATTGTGTCTTTCTCAAGTAAGTCGTCCATAGGCATGGAGTAGTAGACTGGAGAAATCGTATAATTTAGCTTTGATCCTTGTGCTAAAACCTCTAGTTGACTTTCTCCATAAGTCTAGTCGTTGACAAGATGGAGTTGCTTTTGCATAGAGTACGAACAAAAGAGCTTTGTATTGTGTTTCCAACAGAGCGCTTGAAGTTTTGTTTGAATCATCTGAGGCAAAGTCAATGTACTGAGGTTCTATTTGAACATCAGAAGCTTAAATTATATGGCGCCGAGGTCTTATTTGAAATTCAGATTCTACTCCATTAGAATCTGGATTTACTTGCTTCTTCTTTATAAGCTATTTAGTTGGGTCAAAACCTAGTTAATTATAAGCTTAATGATCATGCACACTTAACCAAATATTATTAAGGATCAAACACTCATATTTTATTGAGTAATGAAGGGTCTCAATGATACAATATCAAAATAGCCAAAATGATTACAATACAACTCAAATGCGAATAAAGTACAACCAAACGAATATTAAATGATAAACAAATTACAAATATACGAACAAACTATAACATATAAATTTAAATTGGCAAAAACATCAAAACAAGTAAACGATATCATAGGATAACGTAACTGCACTTTCAAGCACATGGAATATGACGATAATAGGTTAAACTATTACTGTAACACCTGAGGGCGAGGGAGTGGTTGTTAGTGCATGAGGCATGATAATGAGACACTCCTAGTAGTTTATAGGGAAAACTGAATTCACATCAGAATGAGAGGGATCCCGAGGTTGTGAAGCAAAGGGACTGCATGGTTGAAGAAAGGCTTATAAGGATTAATTGGTATTACCTATATCAATAAGATGCATCTTCTTTTCGATAGCTTGACAGATAAGAATTCCACAGTTAATGTGCTTGACTTGGAGTAGTATTTGGATGGGAGATCTTTTGGGAAGTTTTCCAGAAAGCGTGTGTGTGAGAACAAAATGTAACACCCCAAATTCTAGATTAATTATTATTTAATTAATTTAGCGTGAATATATGATTCATTGTGAAGTGTTTGGTATTGTGATCGGTGGGAATGAGAACTGACTGTTTTTTAATGTTGGTTCGCGTTTGCGTTTGTTTTTGCAAAGTGTCGCGGTAAGCAAGAGTCGCCACCGTCTTTTATTTTATCCAACAAGGGAAAGGACAAAAGCACAGAAAAAATTCCTTTTCGAGATTGTTTCTCGGGTTCGGGAGGTAGATTATAGAAAGGGAAGGTGTTAGCACCCTTTCTATCTGTGGTTATCCACGGGCTCTTAGGTACTTGCTCACTATGTTTTCAAAAAGGTTTGCTTTTCTTTGTGATTGTGGGTTTTGAAAAAGTTTTGTTTTTTGAAGAAAGTGTAAGTGTGAAAAGTTTTTGTTTTGTTTTTAAAAGGATCAAGTACTTGAGAACCTCTACCTACTCAAAAAGGAATTTAATTGTGCAAATGTCTTTTAGACAGTGTTATCCCACTATTGAGAAGTAGGTAGCACCGTCGTTGGAGTTTTCGGGTCAATTCGATTTAAGGGACTTGTGGTCACTAAAGCAACATTAGGACGCTTTAGTGGTAATCCTAATGTCTTAGATCATTTTTATCTAGGCAACCATTTCGAGGCAACTTATGATCTTGGGACGAAAATGACGATCTCTAAAACATCCTATACTTAATGACCATATTTGAGGCAACCAAATGAGGTGTACCCTAGGAGTGGCATGTGCAAGTGTGTCAATTTTCAATTTATATTATCTTTGTTTATTTAGGTGTTCTACCATTTGTTTTTAGATCTTGACATACAATCCTAGGTAGCATACATCTAAGCAGTTAATATATGTACAGGAATTTAAAGTGCATAAATTGTAAATACTACACTATTAGAAGGCTTCGGGGAGGGGGATTATTTACATGTCCAAAATTGGGGGAATAATAAGCATTAAAGCAAAAAGTCTCAATTTAAGCCAACACAAACCATTAAGTAGTCACAATAAAATAAACGTGCGTGAATCTAAAAAAAATCCTAAGAATAAGAGCTCTTTTTTTTGTTGTTTTATTTTATTTTTTGGGAAAATGCTAAATGTTCAATTAAGTCAAATTTAATTAATAAAAAAAAAGCTGATTAAAATTAACTCTAAAACAATACTTAATATTTTTGCATTTTTTATTTATGAAAAGGATTAAATTTAAAATAATCTTAAGTCTACTGATTTTAAAATTGAAGAAAATAAGTTAAAATAATTAACTAAATTAAATCCTAATTCTAAGTTATTTATTTTTTATGATTTTTATGTTAATTAAAAAAAACTAAAAGGAATAAACAAAAACAAAATAAACAGAGTACAAATGGGCCAGGCAGCAAACAAGAAAAGAAAAGAAATATAATTCTGGAGGTCTGGGTCGAAAGAGATGCAGGCTGTCTTTCGACCCAGTGAAGAGTCTGGATCGAAGGTGCGTGAGGGGCTGCACTCTGAGGATGTTCGATCTGGACATGTCATCCTTCAATCTGGAAATCCTGGGTCCAATTCGAAACTTAAACTGCTGAGCTTCGAAGCTCTGAACAGGAAGCTGAGAATATGGTTCCTACAAAATGAAACACATATTAAAAGTCCAGGGGGGATTTTACCCCCCTGGTTCGAATCTCCCCCTTATTCGCACCTGCTGAATCTGGGTCTGGGTTTGTTTTATCCTGGGATTCGAAGGATAAACTCAGATTGTGCCCAAGCAATGGCACAAACTCAACTCTGCACGGTAGCTTATATGTAGCACATTAAATCATTCACAAACAGCAGTAATAATATGAATATGCAATCAAAATGAATTTAAAAATGAGTTGAGATTAAATTTTTATTTTACCAAACAGAAGTGATTCGATATGTAGTTCTGAGGGTGGAGGTGTTCGCTGGGTGGCAGCTTTGGCTTGGAAAATTCTTGGCAGCGTCTCTCCAAGTCTTCTATTTTTCTGTATATATTTTCGTGTTTGTGTCCTTTTGCAACAACTGTGATCTCTTTATATAGAGGGGGTGGAGGGGACAGGAAGACAAAGGTTTAAATGACCTTGATTATGTGTTTTGACAGTCATGAAGGAGGATTTGTAACATTAATCATGTGTTTGAAAGCCATGAATGAGAGTTTGTAACGTTGGCTAAACACATGGGATTCTGTCCTCTTTTGAATTTTGAATGACAAGCAGCTGGCCTTCGAATGCTCCCTTTCGAATGGGCTGATGGCCTCTTTCGAATGCTCCCTTTCGAATGGGTTGATGGCCTCCTTCGAATGCTCTTCGAAAACTTCTTCGAATGGACCCTTTGAAAGCTTCTTCGAATGTACCTTTTTGGAATTCCAATCGAAGGACACTGCTATAATGCCAATCGAAGTACTCCTTCAGAATGCCAATCAAAATGCTCCTTCAGTGTGCCAATCGAAGGGTCTTTCAGGATGCCAATCGAAGTGC